CCAAACACACGCACCCCTCCCTCCCCTCCCATGCTGCGAGATCTCATTGGTTACCTGTGTTGTGAGTCAAGGTAACCCATAGTGACCATTGTCAGTGCAGAGCAAATGTAAACACGGGTGTATTTGCAATGTAAAGCAGCAGAGAGCCAAGCAACCAATCTGCAACAGCTGTGTGGACGCAGAGGGCATATGTGTGTGCTGATGATATCACTAAATTTGACCTCAGATTATTATTACCTGTTGCTTTGTGCAGTTAATAATAACATCCCAGTGAAAAGTAGTCTGAATAATAGAGTTTAAACAAGGGGGTTGTTATAGCTACTCTGACTTTATCCAGTCCCAGACGCTCCCCAGTGGTTAAACTCAGCATCAGCAGCCTTCAAAATAAAAAACCCATCTGATCCACATTTTCATTTCCTTCCCGCCCTTTCTTTTTTGTTAATACACAACAACGGCAACAGAGACAGCTTGCAGCCTATAAATCTGTGAGTGAGGCTCACCATTGCTGGCAGTGTGTTTTCTCTTGAGGATGGCGGCCTTCTGCACCCAGTCCCACTGACGTGCCACTGCTTTCAAGATTGGAGAATGACCCCCCCCCCACCCCATTTTACACAGTACAGCTGCCTTCTTTAAATTAATTATTTTTTTCACATGTCAGGACATTTTATACCTTTCACAGGGCTGGGTTTGGTTGGACTGATAAGATGGAATAAATCAGGCCTCTCTTTCATTCCATTATTTCTTCACTCAGTTTCCCAACTTCTGCAACGGCGGGCAGCTTCGTGAGGAATGTGCTGGTTTGGCTGAAAAACGAGGTTCACTCCCATAATGTTTTTGTAAAGTAGTAGAGCACACGATTTGATTATTACAATATGGGTTTGTGTTTATCTGTGTGAAAGACCGGGGAGAGGAGGGGTCATTGTTATTGTCACTGACAGTTAATGCACTGAATCTCAAATATTGGGTTCAAGAAATGTTTCCATTGTTTTTGCTTCATTTTTTTGTTTGTTTTTAGGGGTGATGCACATTAGATTTTTAGGATTTTAAACGAGCACGACACAGACTGATTAAAAAAAAGAACATTTTGACATTTTTAACTTAAGGAAAAATTAGCAAGAAAACCACGGACACATGAGCATGTGTGCAGGAATGCAGCCTAAACATGGATATCCTCTGTTTTATTTCAAGCATTGCTCTTAAAATGCAGTGTATATATTACCCACAGTCCAGCTGGACTGCCAATAGTTCATTTAGAGTTTAATGGACATTTTAAGAGGGCTGGATAAGAGGCCGTATATTCCTTTTATTTAAAAGGAAGGTTATTTGATCCTCTTGTGGATCATATCAACATTAAATAACAAATGGAGACAGTCATTCACACCTATGGTCCATTTAGAAAAAACAATTAAACTAACATGATTGTTTTTAAGAGGGCGCCGGAGTACTCTGAGAGAAATGTACAGTGACCTTACAAACTTGAAACGGAAACAACCCAGCAGATCTGAACCCAGGGGCGTTTTGCCGTGAGGTGACAGTGCTAACCACACTGTATAGACTCAATTATGGTTTATAAATTGTAGCCCAGTGACCCCAGTATACTATATTTGCAGATTTATCTGATGTGAGCTGCGCACTGACAACTTTCACTTTTCCAGCATTTGGAATCCAACCTGCTCGCCATATGCGTATCTGTGACTGATGAATCGTTCTTTATCATGTACTCTAGCCCCATGGATTTGTCATCACGTTGTCAGACAAGCAAAAAAAAAAAAAAAAGAGGGGGGGTAAGTGTGCTAACAGTGAGAGACTGTGACACAACGCTTGAATGTCCCCTGATGTAGAACTGAGGAGGAAATAGAAGGAAAGAAAAGCTCCAGAGTCCATGGAACGTCAGTCTGATGAATTCCTTCTGCTGGCCACGTCTGCTCACCTTCTGCCGCGTCTTCTGTTGCTCGGCGTGCTTGTGTTGTCTATGCATGTGCTCAAGTGTGTGACATGTGAAAGTGACTGATGAGTTGCGTTTTTGTGTCATTTATCAGCCATTCCTTGAAGTGCAAAGTCAGTGGTGTGCAACCAAAAGAGATATCAAATGTAAAAAAAAGTGCAGAAAGCATTTTTGTTTTGTTTTTATGCACGTGCTTACTCACATATCTTCGTTTTGTGTTCTCGCAGCCAGCACGGGGGTCTCAGTTTGCACTTGGTTTAACATTTTTCCCTTGAAGTACTTCCATGGCTCCAACTGCACACACGTTTTCACACTCACAACAAAAGCATATTTTCTTTGTTCTGCCCAAATGTTTGCAGAATCTGTACCAGACTGAAAGCTCTCCTCCCTGTGCTATAAATCCTGAATAAATATTAGATGACTAAGAAGGAGGCCAGCAAGACATATACATCAAGAAGTGTGAATACACCTTTAGATTATTAGACATCTGTCAGAAGCTGTGTATGACAGCTCTGGATGAAAATGCCTATATGGGTTCAAATGCTTGAAAAGTGCCAAGCAGTGATGTTTGCCATACTCTCAGGCCAGAATTTGTCAAAAAGCTTCTCTTCTCAAACATTTGAAAGTGAAGTCAAAACATCATGATCATATAAATGCTCCTAATTGTTTCTGAATGCAGTTCACTGGCGCAGTCTTGCTGAACATGCTGTGTAAATATGCACAACGGCAAATGGAATTGGGTAGAAAAATGCAAAAGAATGTTTGGAGGGGAAAAAAACAACAGAGACGGACCAGATCAGATTTATTCACACCCCAGCCCTTGAGAGCCAGACTCGAAACAATAAAGTCTGCAATCCAACACACTGTGGAGAGAAAAGGACAAACTGCACTGGTATGTGTAGGTTTGATTATGATTATTTGGTGTCCACATTTACTCTGTATATGTGTGAACGTATTTCATGAAGCTGTCTTTCTTGGAAATAAAGATGTTTAAGAATCTGCACGGAGGAACAACCACCTTGGCTTTATCTAATGGTTAAAAACAATCTGTCTTACAAACAACCACAACCACATTTATGTTGTCTGATCAGCCTGAATATTATAAAACCTCTGGATCTGAAAAGTGAAACCACTATTTTAAAGCAGTCTTTCTCATAGCCAGTTGACGTAACTCAGTGTATAAAGAAAATGACCCCAATTCTTACTTTAGAACAGTAAACACATTTTCCTCAAGCTATTGGGTGATGGACTCAATAGCTTGTTTTAATTTGTAAGGGCTTTATCTTACAATGTACAGTAGCAATTCTTATTGCAAATTATGCACACATTTAGAGTGAAGAACATGATAAATCCTGATACACCTTAAAGCCACTGTTTATGATGTAGTCCCTGTGACATCATCTATCTACGGTTAATGATGTCATCTTTAAGTCTAAGGTCATTAGCCGTTTCCGGGTCCAAACTTCGCTTCAGGTCCCAAAGTCAAACGAACACGGTGGCATCACTGAGAGCTACAAACTGTCTAAATTATTTTATCATTAATAAAATGATCAGCGTTGCTGCTCTACCAGGTGTAACAATTAAGTTTTCAGGCATCCATGAAAACAGAATTTATGAAATTTAGTTAGCAAGATGTTAGCTCGCTAGTTTCTACCTAAACATGATATACCATGTTCTGACTGAGGGATTTCTGAAAATTTTAAAACGTACAGCTCTGCTATCACTTCCAACATAAATAAAGACAGGAAACTAAATAGCAGTGACATTTGTGGGGTTACTGATGTTGGGCTATGATGATGTGCTATGTGGTGGCTAGCTACACAGCTATGGTTAGCATAATAAAACACATTAGCACAGTGAGGCTGGAGGATGAACGCTTTTTTCCACTCGCTAAAAGTTAACATGAGGGTTAGGGACAAATGTAATTGCATTTTAGGATGCTGTAAACAGATCAAACTTCAGTCAGGATAAGAACTGAGATACCATCCACAATACAAGGTTAGTCATTAATTTACTGCTGCATGGGCTGGACTGTAATTACATCGTAAGGTTTTAAAACTGAGCTTTAAAATGAATAGTGATAATAAAAACTGAAAGAGCTGACAGTGATCACTGCCTTTTTTTTAGGAGCGTGTTCAGATTAAATAGAACAAGATACAATACAACATGTTAAAAACACAACACCTTAATAAAGGTAGAGTAGTTTGGACCTGGAAGCAGAGTTCATACGTCATCACTTAAAGACTGGATTGGTTGTAGAGTATGTCAGGTTTGTTATTTTGACTGTCCCCTCCTTGATGTTTATTTGGATGAGCAAATGGTGGGAAATTATCAACTAATTCTATTGCTGGCTAGCAGCTTGGTTAGCGAGGTATTTTAAATAAAATGCTAATTTTGGTTAGAGCACAACAGGCTTAAATCAAAAAGTTTCTGGGTAAATTACTGGAGAAAGTTAAAAAACTAAATGGCCAACTCCTTAGTGTGTTATTTTGGAAAACTTATAAAACGTTATACCTGTTAGTCCTTTAAAATAGCCAGGTCTTAGATTACATATAACTTAGGGCTCCAGTTAAAAAATTTACCCATCTGTAATATACATGTGTATATATATATATATATAGACACACACACACACACACACTGACACACACACACACACACACACACCACACACCACGACACACACACACATGACATTATGGTACAAGGTAAGGAGTATTGGAACTATATTTATGGCACTTAGTAGCTTCATTCCCCCATCCACCCCCAGAAGCTGGAAGAATTTGTAAAAAGCCAACCAGCTAAAAAAGAAAAGCAATACATTACATTAAGCTATAGCTCACCAGGGGATATTCATATAGGCTTTTGTAAAACTACACCCTTTTAGAACCCTTTTAGTACAAATGTAAAAAAAATGTGTGGAAAGGATTCTTTTACCACTGGGCAGTACCAGACTACTTCTAATTTGACACATAAATCTACATTTACAGCTTTTCTTACAGCTTCTTGAACTACCAAAATAAACTTGCCTGGGTCAATAAATGCGTTGATTTTAAACAGTACTTTTGTGGTTTGATTATAGAATATTGGATAAGTAGCTCACTGAACAAAATTCGCTCTGTTATCCAAGTTGTGTAGCAGATTATTTAATTTTTTTTTTTTTTTTATGTAGCACTGATCTAGGAGGTGATCAATCACACCAGTAAGAGGGCCAGCATTATCCAAAACCAGATAAATCAGTTTACCCTCTGTTTGAAACAGATAAAAAAGTAATTCAGAGAGGAATGTACTGAATGTGATTATGTTCAGTTAGGGCTAGTTACAGGAGTGGTGGGTTTGATTTGATGTCAAACCACACTGGATTGTTTGAAGACTTGCTGGAGGAACAAAGGCAGAAAGGTTATAGCAGAGAGACGAAACAGGAATGTGCAGAGATAAGGAAGTAAAAAGTAAGGGAGAGGACAAAGAAGTAGTAAAAAAGATGAGAAAAACAGACATAAAAAAAGACAGTGATGGCAAGTAGAGTGGATAAAGAAATGAAACAAGGAAGGGTGGTGAGAGATCAGAGGACAGAGAGCTTCTTTGACAGCTAATGTGACATGCGTGACACTGGTTTAGCCTCAAGCAACATTCCCAGGTCAGAAATGTGTGTGTGTGTTTGTATGTGTGTGTTTGGGGCAAAGAAGTTGGGAGAAAAACAGAGAGATCACAGTAATGTTCTGTGTTGGCACTCGCCATCACATGATGCTGCCTGCTGTCACACTTAAATCGAGGCCACATGCTCAAACACCCTCCCACACACACTAACACACACACACAGAATACACCATACACTTAAGCCAACAGCAGACAGACCTAAAAAGAAATCTTTAAAAATTAATATAAAAATAATTTACTGTTTTCTTTTTGTAATAGTCATGATTTTATGTGTTATATTTATTGAAAAAAGAAACCCTACATTAAAGGTAAGGAGTCAAATTAAGATAATCAGGCACTAATATAATGACAAAATGCATAAAGCCTCAGGAACAGGCCAAGTATGGAACAATATGATACAATAGCTGACGGTATCACAGCTGAAGTCACACAGCGTCAGTAGTTTTGTTGCTAGTGAGAATACACAAAGAAAATAAATTTCAAAGCATTAACAAGTATGCAAAAGCATGTAAAATGCTCATGTACATTCATTTTTTTTTACAGAAAAAACATGCAAAATCCCCAAATGGCTGTTTTACAAGATGCTGAAGTATGTAACAAATACACTACAATGCATACACTATCCAGGCTGCAAGCCTGGCAAGCTGTCTTAGCTTATCAACCCTTAACCCCCAATTTTACACAACATAGTTGAACTTTGCTCCTGTTCAGTTCTCCATTTTTAATGTTATTCATGCCTGTATAAATTTGATACTTCCTATCCAAGAGTGCAGCTTTGGAGGCGTGCTGACACTTCATTCTTGGACAGAATGAGTGTGGCACTCCATGATAAGTGCTAAAAGTTTCAGGTTAGATTGAGTTGCAGTGAGAGCTGATTTCCGGCAGTATGTATATTATGCTGTAGATAAAAACAAATGGGTCCCTGTCCTCATTTACGCAGGCATACTTCGATGTTTTTTGGTTGTTTCTCACTTCTGGGCCTCTCCTCAGGCTGTCGAGGACTTGTTGGTCATGCGAGAGTTGCTCTGTTCGGAGCCTCGGTCGCTGACTTTAAGCTTTATGCACGACTGCTTTTCGTCCATTAACATCTCTGTCGTTACGCACCAGGAGCACAGACAGGACTAAAGAAGAAAAGAAACTGTGAGGCTTAGGCTGCGAGAAAAGAGGAAGAGTGTGAACACTGTTCGCACTTTGACAAAATAGTGACTGATTCTTACAGCCTTTTTTTGTTGCAGCCTTAGAAATATTTCATCACTGTAAGAAATAAGCTTATTCTCTTTTTGTTGTATCCCTACTACTTTCTTTATGGTAGAGCTAAAGCCAGCAGCTAGTTAGCTTGGCACAGAAATGTAAGCCTTGTCTAGAAATAGTCCAAGTTAGTAAAAGTTAAGAAAAATTTCTGGGACCAAACACTGAGGCGTCACTGAGAGTTAAAATCACTAAATGCTCTTTCATCTCCAATAAAATGATCAGTGTAGCCATCCTTCTAGTGGAAGGTTAGGCAGAGCAGGTTTCCGCTTAAATATGAAATAACATTTTCTGAATGAATTTTTTTCTGAAAAAACAAAAAATTAAAACACACACCTGTATAACATTGGAAGTGAACAAAAACAGAAAAATAAACATGAACATCATTCAGAGGGTTTGTGAAGTTGGGTTAGTTGATATATAATAGTGTGCTATCTGGTGGCTAGCCTTAGAGCTATGGTTAAGCTAAAATAAATACAATACTACTGTAAAGATGTAGCATGAGGATTAAACTATTTTCAGTAAAAGTTCATACTGAGGATATCTGGTGGGCTGAGACAAACAGCATCATATGGCAGGAAGAAGAGGCCAAAAATAACTATGAGTGATATGTCATCACTTAACTAAGGCTACGTTCACACTGCAGGTCTTAATGCTCAATTCTGATTTTTTGATCAAATCCGATTTTTTGTCTGCTTTTTCACACTACAAATAAAATGCGACAGCAAACGCGCTCTGGTGTGAACCCTCAAAGCGGTCCGCATGTGCAAAAGAAGACGTCACACACAACGCGCTCTGTTTAGACCCAGACCAAACAGTATTGTTTGACTGATGGCCCTTAATATAAAGACTTCGGACTTTACGTTTCCCAATTTTTGCTTTAAGTTATTTTGTTATTTACATAACAATGTAAAAATAACCTAATAATTATCCTTATTGTTGTTTTAGAGAGGAGCGGTGCTTCAAAGGATAGTTGCAGATTTCTGTCAGAATCTGCAGATTATACAGTACAAATAAAATGTTCACGTTTCTCCAACGTTTTCTTCCCAACAGTTTCACTAACATCTACGCTGGATGGCCAGGAAGCGTTTGCGATGTCTTATCGGGTGCTTCTCGGGAGCTGATAATTGGCGTCTGTCTCGTGTCAGTGACGTAAAAGACGGATTTAATGCGACTTGACCATTCAAACAGCAGTCGTTTTCTAAAACATCGGATATGTATCGGATTCAGTACCACATACGAAAGTGGCCCAGATCGAATTTGAAAATATTGGATTTGTGCCATTCACACTGTCATACCATGATCGGATATGGATATAGGGTAAAAAAAAAATTGGATTTGATGCGCTTTCGCCTGCAGTGTGAACGTAGCCTAACAGATGGCTTAATTTTGTGTTGTAAAGACAAAAACCTGTGTCCACACGGGGAGCGATTAGTTCATTGTGCATTGCTTTCGAGCTGATGGTCGATTGGCTAGGATGTAGTGATCACTGGTATCCTAAGCTCCTTTTCCATTTGTACCTACTCAGATCAGGTTTTTTCAGGGTTTTCCATTAAGTGATAGTACCTGGTATCAGGTACTAAAATGGTACCTGCTCAGATGGAGTTCAAAGCAATCTGACCATGTACTAAAATGTGACATCGTCAGACTGCATGCCACCGAATGGCTGGTCAGTTCTGAGAGAGTCTCGTTCACAGAAATCAAAACTGCCATTTTTGATATCCGACATCGAGGGAATTGGTTACAGAAAGCAACTCCCACGAGTCTGACGAAAAGCCACAGATCGAGCAGCAGGTATATTGTTGCCTCGGTGTCCGCCTTTGTTGTAGGGTTCGTGTTATGGGAGGCTCGGCCGCGTTGCTATAATGATGACCATGGTACTAGATTGTAATGGAAAACCAGGTGTTCCAAGTTGAGTCCATCTGAGTAGGTACTATTGGAAAAGGGGCTCTGCACACTCATTGGTAGTTGCTTCAGTTGCTTGTCTCTATGTTGAGAATATTTTATTTCGGGACCTGCCTACTTTGAGGTACCAGAATCTTTTTTGCCTTTAGTCACTTCACATTTCGGAAGTCAATGTGAATCATTTCCTGTGTGGATGCAGTTTAACACCAACAAACAAAATACATTAGCACAATAACCAAAAAGTAAAGCCTTTTTTGAGTGAGTTACACTTTACCCTGAAGCAGTTCTTGAAGCGCTTGCTGACCATGTAGAGGGCGATGGGGTTGATACAGGAGTTGACAGATGCCATGTTGATGCCAATGTAGTCCAACACCAAAAAGAAACTAAAATATGTCACAGTGGTATATTAGTCTTCCACTTCACACTGTCTTCGAGGCAAGTTTTTTTATCTACTAAATTATCATGACTTCCCCTCCACACCTGAGCAATTCACACCGGTTTGGATCCTTTTCATCATAGATGGTGAGCTTCAGGATACGGCTGAGGTGGAGAGGCAGCCAGCACAGAGCAAAGACTAAAACCAGACAAAACACTGTCTTCGCCACCTCCCTCCGCTGAACACACACAAAAACACATAAATTACAGTTTGGCACCGAAGTAGCTGTGGTGAAACTTAAGCCTTAAAGGAATTAGGCATCATTGGAAACATGTTTTCCCCTCAAAATGTAAAACATTTGTTATCAGGAATCAAATTGAATTCAGTAGGAAATGGGAGTTGCAAATTAGGCAGAAAACAGTGCAGAACATTACTTTAATAGCATTGTCTGTTTATCGTCCTATTACATTAGGAAAAATATCACTTTAACTCAACTAAATATGTCGTCAGCAGTCAACAAACAGGCCTAATAAAGTGAGTTTTCACCATCTTACCTGTTTTAAGTGGTCGCTGAGCGCAATCTGCATGCCATTCTTCTTCCTCAGCATCTCACAGGTCATCAGGGTGTAGAAAATGGCAGTGCAGGCCAACGGCAGGCAGAAATACACACTGAACAGCCACCAGTCCTTTGCTGATTTATAAAACTGCACAGAGAACATAGCAGGACTGCACTGGATTAGGCACAAACATCTGTGCTGGAAATCTTGAGTTAAAGGTGAAGTATGTCAGAAGCAGATGGATTTTAATGGTGTGTAACCACGGTCTGACCGGGTTGACTCTAGGGTGTGTTTCAAGTTGCTGTTGACATGGTTTTACAAATCAATTTATCATAAGGCCCCAGTGGGAATAAATGTATTATTCTTTTTACATGAAGATAGACGAATGTAATGGCAAATACATTATATTAATCCATTAGCTATTACGCTACACATAATCAACCGCTGTAGTGTTTTCTGTCACCCAAGTGGGGGATGTTCCAATTCTTATGATCCATGACTTTTTTTCTTTTTGACAGTGTTTCATTTCTGGGAACTCTTCCTAACCCCGATCTAGCGGGGAAGCTGTCACAGTCTGATTACGAGTGCTTATGGTTTTAAGTGTACGTATAAGCGTATGCACACACATGTACACATTCACCTCTGCGTCTGTCCATATAAGTATGTGTTATACGACATACAGCTATGTCAACACGTACTATTTTTCTGCACAGCGAACCACAGGCCTTTAAAAGTCGGTGTGTTACAGCTCACCCTCATGAATTCGGTTTTCTGCACGGGGTGCAGCAAGCAGATCCTCAAATGTTCTCCTTTGTAGTTCATGGTGATCATGTCGAAGGCTATCGCCTCTGGCACAGCCAGGATGATGGATATTATCCAGATGAGCGCTATCTCGATAGCCATCCATTTTGGAACTCCGATCCCTTTGATACGGCTCCATGAGGCCACGGCACGATACCTGGAAGATGCGTGACATGTGGAGTCAGTTAGTTAAAGGAAGAGTTTGATGGCTCGGGAAATGTACTTAGTCACATTTTTATTGAGAGGCAGCTCATAAGATGGCTATCACTGGTATATTTACATGGTGACTACATTGTACAATAAAGCAATTATAAAAAATATATATAACTCATCTGTTTAAAATGTATTTATTCTTAAAGTTTTGCATTAGAAGTGCATGACTCATGCAGCTAGAGCCACTTGCTACCTGTTAGCCTTACCTCAGGTAGGTCCACCACTAAACTGGGTCTTTCAACCACATTTTTAGTGTTGGCATTTTTAACAGAAATACAGTGGCTTCCTGTGTAGTTAAGTGATCTACCCATTAGGTCTGTGCTTAGCACTGTCTGTATCTGTATGACACACAAATATGTTTGCAGCTTGCTCACATGAACTTGCTTACTTGTAATGGCAAAAATGCTAAACCTGAGGCTTCCAAACAGTAGTCCAGAAACCATCGCCATGGTGACTGCGATACAGTGTGACATAAGTTACTGTTTTAATTCCTTTGTTTTTGCAATTTAAAAGAAAAATTGTGGATTTATCACCAAGGTGTCTTTCATACACTTTTTTTTTTGTTTTGGTTTATTTGAGCCCTTTTTATGTTCACCGTTCAATAATGGCATTAACAAAATGTCAGTTTACTAATGCATCAAAGTTGACAGCAGCCAGTGGGAACAAGAGAAAAAGTGAGGATAAAAAGTCACTGCTTTTTAATTGCAGTTGCAGCATTGAAAGAAAAAACAAAAAAGCAAAGATTGTTGTTCATTTGCCATGACTTCATGCTTACCTGTCAATACTCAACGCACACAGACTCAGCACTGTAATCCCCACTGAGGATTTCTGCACAAATGGCACCAGCTTGCACAGAGTCACCCCGAATGGCCAATCCTCCGCCAGGAGCTGTATAGAGAGAGAAAGAGTTGATGACAGACTTAAACCATGGTAGGAAAGGAAGCAAATTTACTATCCCCCATTTTTACTCAGCCTCAGGCATCCAGTGCAGGCCAGGCATGTGTGAACCTGAACTTATCGTTCTTTTCTTGCCAGGTTTAACATTTTGGTCTTTTCCTTAAAACCACGAGTCCTGTTTGCATTGGTTTAAACTCCAGGCACTGTGACCTAGTGAGAACACTCGCAGAGAAGAAGAAAACTCTGCTAAGCATGAAAGATATGGAACCTTTCATGCTGTCTTTGGATGGGTGTCTGGAATGTGATTGAAAACCTATTAAAATCAGATGTGAACATGTTTCTCTCCGTACCACCCCGTCTGTCCTGTCGTTGCTATGGTATGCGGCTGTGACCAGTTGTTTTAACATGCTTGCCCCCTTACCCAAATATACAGACGCTCTTGGTTCTGTCTCTCTCACTCACTCATTCACTCACACAAAAGGAGCCCAACAGATTAAAACATACCAGGGACATAAGGGGATATGGAGGGGCTCAGAATCCAGTAAGGTAATAACATTTTGAAAATTATGTGGAAGCCTGCTTTTACAAGCATGTGTGTGTATGTGTGCTCACGAGTTTAATAGGAATATTTGAGTACTTGTCTGGGATGTAGCTAAATATTTGTGCATGACCTCACAAAGTTACAGTTAAGTAAAAATAATGTTAAGCAGCTCATGCTTTCCTATGACTTAAGTACTGTTCCTATGCTATTCTGCAGTTTTTCTCACCTTATAAACATTAATGGGAATGGCGATGATGATATGCAGCAGGTCTCCAAGTGCCAGGCTGCCGATCAGTATATTTGGCCCGTTATGCATACACTTATTCTTATAGATGATCCTCAGAAGAGTGGAATTCCCAATAATACCGACAACGAAAACCAGGCAGGACACCACTGTGTTGATGTACTTGAAAGTGTCTCGGATTTCTGTGGGTCCGGTGCACATGGGTGGCAGGCGGCGGCGGGGCATGGTGCTGTTGGGCCGCACCGCACCCTGCACATCTCGTTCCACGAGCCCTTGTTTCTGGGTAACAGTGAGAGGCTCCTGGGGCACTTGTTTCTTTGGCTCCAGTTGTCCACTGGCCACAAGTATGTGGACTGCCAAAGCGAGTAACTCCAAGCAGAGGAGATGAGTCCTCATCCTTTGATTTTGACTGTGGCTTTTATCCAAGAAACGGCCTGCAGCTGATCTTCTTTAGAGCTCCTGGAACACAGATTAGAAACACTGTGAACAGGCCTGGTGTTGAACTACAGCAGCAGTTCTTAGACTTTTTTTGGCATTCAGAAGCTGAAAACAGTTTGCACTCCACACTTAATAATTCAAATCATTTTTACGTCATATTTTTCATCTGGCACCCCAACTTCAGGGGCTCTGCACCCTACCAGTGGGTGCCACATTTTAACTTTGGCTAAAGGATCATTTTTATTTCCTTTTTTTTTTTTT